TGTGATAGGGACCAAAAAGAATACAAGCAAGGCAAGGAGCTAAATTAGAATAGTGCCAAAGGAAGTTCTTAAGAGGACCTAGATTCATGGGCTAGGGCTTGAGAGAAACTTCAAGGGCAAAGAGGAAGAATCGTAAGATATTTGGGACTTAAGACAAATGAAGTGAGATTTGTAGGAGTGGTTGTGTGATGGGCATTGTGGGACACTTGTGACAAAGCAGAGGGGTTCTTTGACCAAGGTCAAACGTGGCTTCTGGCAATGCCAAACGAGTACCCTGTTCTGGACCCATGGGATTCTCTATCTCAAACCTGGGATACTTTGATCAGAGTCTAGGACTGATAACATGAAAGTGGAGGAACTGGGACCAAAGACAGTCTCCAATAAGCCCTTCAAAGAAGGGCTGCTACTGGTGCAGAAGGCCACTGTGATGGGTGTGGAATGATCTGTGACCAATGATCAGGGAGAATACACAGAAAGCAAAGAGTCAACTCTTAACAAGGTCAAAGAAGTTTTCTAGAGATCCTACAGTTCTTTCACTAGGGACTGAGGAAGACTTCAAAGAAAAAAAAATATGTTTGTCTTAGGGCTTGGTCCAAGTGGGAGTAGAAGGATAGTCAGAAGGTGATGGTATGCTCTTACCAAGCCTAAGGGATGCTGCTACTAGGGCCAAAGAGCACTCTAGTCTGGACCTAATATATTCTTTGTCTCAAACCCTGGGAATCTCAGGTGGTTTGAATAAAAATAGCTCCCATAGGTTTATAGGGACTTGTACTATTAGGAGATGGAGTAGGTGTGGCCCTGCTGGAGGAAGTGTGCCAGGCCCAGTCTCTCTCTCTCTCTCTCTCTCTCTCTCTCTCTCTCTCTCTCTCTCTCCTGTTGATTCACATAATGATAATGGATTAAACATCTGAACTGTAAACCATTCCAAACTACATGCTTTTATTTTATTAGAGTTGCTCTGGTCAGCACTGGTATGAGTTCTTGGAGCTTAGTTGAAGAGAGAGAAGAGGGATAATATGAACAAGGGGGTTCAAGATCATGATTGGGAGAACCACAGAGGCAGCTGACCTGAGCTAGTGGGAACACACAGACTCTGGACTGACAGCTGGGGGTCCTGCATGGGACTGAACTAAGCCCTATGAATCTGGGTAATAGTCATGTGTTTTGATCTGTTGGGGGAGGCCTGGCAGTGGGACCAGGACTTATCCTAGGTATATGAACCAGTTTTTTGGAGCCCATTCCCTATTGTAGATTATCTTGATCAGCCTTGAATTGAGGGGGATGGGCTTAGTCCTTCCTTAACTTGGTATACCAGTCTTTCTTGACTGCCCAAGGAATACCTTACCTCCTCTGAGGTGTGGATGGGAGGTGGGAGGGTGGGTGAGTGAAGAGGAGGGAGAGGGAGCTGGGGCTAGCATGTAAAATTAAAAAATTTCAAATAAAAAAGGAGTTGCCAGGGTTATGGTTTCTCTTCATTAGCATTAGAAAGCCTACCTAAGACAGATTCTATGATCAGGGAGGGTCTAGGGCCTGAACTGATGAAGTCATGGGGTGCCCAGCACAGGAACCAAGATCTATAAAGTCCTTTCTTTGAGCAGAATCTGAGTAGGTCTCCAGGCAGGGTGAGGTCTGCCTCCCAGGCCCGAGGGGGCTGTGAATAGGGTCAAGAGGGTTCTTGAACAGGGCAGAACAAGGACTAGGATCAGTGAGTTGGAAGGCTGCCACCAGGGCAGAAGATTGTTTCTGGCAGGAGCCAAAGGAAGCCATGTGGAGGGCAGAAGGTATATTCTAAAGAGGCTCAGGGAGGCTCTTAAATGGTTCTAGCAATGTCTCATGACAAGATTGACTGAGGGGGTTTCAAAGTTGCTCAAGGTGGTTCCAGTAAGATAGAGGATAGTCTGGTTAAGGTAGTGAGTGTATGAGTAGGGACCTATGTGTTTTCTCAACAGGAAAATGGCAACTTTGACCAAGGACTAATGTTAGGTCTCTGGCAAGAGCACAGGAAAACCGCCCACCAGAGAAGAGGGAGACAGGGACAAGACAATCTCTGAACAGATCAGAGTAAGGTCTATGCCATGGCTGAGGGAAATCAAGAGAGCTTTCTAGTGGGACTGAGGCTGCTCCCAACTGTGAGCAGTGCAAGATTTCAAAAAAGATGAAATCAGTTTCAGACAACATTCCCAGGATCTAGGGACATCCACACCAGGGCAGAGAAGTACCTTTGAATAGGAGCAAGGGAGGCTACAGGAAAGGGAGGCTAACATGGGCTCTTCAAGATATGGGACTGGTGACTATGGAACCACCCAGTCAGGGAAGAAGGCTGTCTCTGACTGGAGTCAAGGGAAGCCCTGAGTAGATCAGATGGTCGGCTTTGAACAGGGTAAAGGGGAGCTTTGAATTCAGCCTAGAGCATCTCACCAGGCATGACTGAGAAGGGTTCAAAGGGTATCATAGAGACTCCAACAGGACAGCGTCTATTCTCTGACATGGTTCGAGTGAGGCTGTGAGAAGGCACACAAAGATTTCTCTGACCAAGGCCATGGGAGTCCTTGATATAAAAGCTAGGGTGGTCTCCAACAGAAGCACTAGTCAGTTTGCTACCAGTCAGGAGCAAGAGTGGGAAGGTCAAAGGGTATTCTCTAACCGGGGTTGAGGGTCCTTTCTGACCTGGGCTGAAGCACTAGTTCATGGCTGAGCAGGGTTTCTGAGATGTGATGTAACTGAGGCTGAGGGAGTTTTTGTTTGTTGGTTGGTTTTTCCTGGGACTATAAAGTGCTCTGTACAAGGTCAATGGAAGTATTTAAGAGTGGGCCAGTGCAGTTTCTAACCAGGGTCAATGGGGCCTCTTACAATGGTCAGGGGAGTGTTTAAGAGGGACTAGTGTAACGCCCCACAGTGCTGAGTGAGGTTTTTATAGGACTGAAGGAGGATCTGTGTGTTCTTAAGGACATCTCTTAATGGACCAAAGATGGTAGCCTCTGGGGAGATCAGAGGAATATTTTATTGAGTGTTGAAGGTTGGTTTCAGACTATGACTGAGGAGATCTCTGAAGATTCTACAAGAAGAATGTGACTAGGCATCAGGGCTTTCTGTGATCAAGACCAATGGGAGGTTTTAACAGGGCAATGGAAAGTTTTCTAAAAGTATTTATGGAGGTTCCACCAGAGAAGAGCAAAGGAAGGATGAACGAGCAAGGCTTTAACCACAGCCAAGGGAGCTCTTCAATGGAGGTAGAGGGAGTCATGGATAAAGGCTGAAAACATTCTCTGGCAAGGGCCCAGTAAGGCTCTTCCCAGGGCGAAGGGAAGTGGTGGTCTCTGGCAGGGTCAGTGGAGGTTCTTAAATGGGTTTGTTAAGGAAATCCTTCCGCCTGAGCAAAGTAAGGCTCCAGTGGTACCTAGAGAAGTTTTTCACAGGGCCCAGCAGGAAGCTCTGATTGTAGCCAGTGAGGTCTCTAACCAGGGCAGAAGGAAGGCTGTAAAGAGAGACCAAGCTGTTCTCTTACCAGGGCCGAGTATGTCCCCCAATAGTTTTGGAGGACAGAGAGAGGCTGGAAAAATGATAGAAGGCAATTTCTGAAAGGGGCCTGGGGATGTTCCCCTAATTCAGAGAAGGGAGTCTCTGACAGTGGCAATGGGAGTGTTCTTGTGGCAGGGTCAAGAGAGGCTCCAACAGGAAGAAATCTCCTGTAGTAATCTGAGGACAGCCTCCAACCATAGCGAAGTTTCCAAACAGGGTATCAGGAGGCTAGGATAAGGACTAAAGGCTGCCTATAAGCAAAGCAGAGGGTGGTCTCCCACCAGGGTCGAGGGACGCTCTTCTCTGGGTAAAGCATGGTGTCTGACCAGGAGTGAGGAAGGCTCAGCTGTAGCTGAGGGAGGCTCAATGAGTTTGAGAGAGGTCTCAGAGCAGAGATTAAGGAAGTTTCATTCAGAGCCAAGGTGAGTCCCACATCATGGCTAAGGACAGTCTCAAAAGGGTGAGAAAGGTATCTTCTGGAATGAAGACAAAGGGAGTCTCAGGGGAGGGCCAAAGGTTAGCAGTCTTTGACCAAGATGGAAGGAAGTATATAATGGGGACCAAGAAGGGTCTCTAGTCTAATAAGGCTTGGGCCAGGGTCTCCAACATAGGTCAAAGGTTGCCTCTGATGAGAGCAGAAGGAAGCTCCAACTGAGGCCAAATCTTGTCACTTATGGGTATGAGGTGTGTCTGTCAGGGGCTGAGGGAAAACCACAACCAGTAACAATAGTCAGAGCAAATTGCTGAGTAGAGCTAGAAGGCTATTTATGACTAGGGACAAAAAGGGTATTTATGAGGGTCCCTGATAGTCTCACACATGAGCTGAGGGAGGCTCTAATGGTTTCCAGGATAGTCTCCAGGGCAGAAGTCATTCTCTGATGGGTACAGAAGTTTCTGCCAAGGTCTGAGCCCATCCTCTGGCAGTAGCTGAGGAGGACCAAAGGCAGGTGGTCTCTGACTAGAACAAAGAGAGATCTTTGATGGGGGCAAAAGTGGGTCTCTAACAATAGTCTAAGGAAGCTTCTATCATGACAGAGGAAGGTCTCCGTGAGGCTAAGGGTAGTTTCTGAGGAGGGTCTCGGGAAGTTTTTAATCAGGACTAATGGTAGTTTCCTACCAGGCCTTGAGGGAGGCTACAATAGGGTTGAGGGAGGCTTTAATCTTACTGAGTGACTCTCCATCAAGTGCAGACAGAGACTCTGACCAGAGCTGAGGAAAGCCTAAGACATGGGTTAATGGTAGCCTTCAAGTTGTATCATGGGGTTTCTTTAAAAAGCAGAGGATGACTTCTCAGTTGTCAACCACATTCAGAGAGTCCGGTCTGATTGCATGCTCATTCAGTCTCGGTCCAGCTGGATTTGGTGAGCTCCCATTAGATCAGGCACACTGTCTCAGTGGGTGGACCAACCCCTTGTGGTCCTCACTTCCTTGCTCATATTCTTCCTCTTTCTGTTCTTTTTTTTTTTTTTTTTTTTTGATGGTTGAAAAAAGTCAGTAGACTTTATTGCTTCTGGGGTGTAGGGCTCAGGAGCTCTTGGTGGGACGGGTCCGTTTCCTCTTCACCACCACAGGCTTCTGGCTTCGTAGGATGGCACTGGCCCTGCGGATGGCCGCCATGCGCAGATCGGGGCGGTACTTGTTCTTTCGGATCATGTGCCTGTTGCTGCTCAGGGTGGCCCGTGCATTCTTGTTGATGGTGGTCCTTACGTAAGAAGTAGCTGGTTTGCGCTGACCGGATCTGCGATTCATGACCACCACGACCCCTTTGCCGTCGGCCGTGGGCTCCACTCCCACTGTCTTGCAGTGAATCAGCCTGCTGTAGCGGAAGGAGTTCCGGGCTTTCAGATTATTGGGTTCGGTGCTGTACGTCTGCTTATTCCTCTTGATCAGGAAACTGGAGCAGTTCCGAACGACCATGCATTGCAGATGCGCAGACATGGCGGCGCCTCCTCTTCTATGGCAGACGGAGACGGAAAGAGGCCTCTTTCTGTTCTTCAACTGGACCTTGGGAGCTCAGTCCAGTGCTCTGATGTGGGTCTCTGTCTCTATCTCCATCCACTGCCAGATGAAGGGTTCTATGGTGATATTCGAGATATTCATCAGTGTGAATATGGGACAAGGCCAGTTCAGGCACCTTCTCCCCTGCTGCCCAAGGACATATATGGGGACATCCCTATGGACACCTGGGGTCCCTCTAGAGCCAAGTCTCTTGTCAACCCTAAAATGGCTCCCTTAATTAAGATATCTTCTTCCCTGCTCCTATATCTGCCCTTCTTCCATCTCAATCTTCCCACTCCCCCAAACTCTACCCAGTCCTTCCCTTCTCCCTTCTCTCTCCCTCTCTCCCCTTCCCCCCACCCCACCTTCACCTCCATGCTTCCATCTTTTGCCCAGCGATATATATCTTATTTTCTAGTCATGTCAAAAGCTATTTCAGAGGCTGTTCCTCACATGTCCTTAAGTTACTCCTTTGAGAAATTTCCCTTTGGTGTGTTTATCTAATGGTTCTTTTTATTTATTTATTTATTTATATTAAATATTCCCACCTCCTCCCATCTCCC